CTAACGCACCTACTTAGAACAAGCTTAGCAAAGCACAGGGACCGCGGTTCAATCCCCAGCACCACATGCCAGCCAGCCCCGTCCCCTGGTGGGCTGAGCTGGCCACACACACACACAAATAAATAAATAAAATTAAAAAAAACAAACAAACAAACTCCAGAAGCTGCCCTAAGACTGCATGAGGCTTGGGGAGGGGGGGACACCTATATACAAACCATAACAAGAGGTCAGGAAATACAGCCTGGTTTGGGGGAGTCATGTACCAAGATAGCACATGTGAGCCACACATAGTGACACAGATACCTGTCATCCCAGAACTTGGGAGACTGAGGCAGGAGGATCACCAGGAGTTCAAGGCCAGCCTGGACTATATCAACAGACCCTGTCAAAAAACCAGCCCGACCCTCAACAAAAAAGACAGAACACCTCTCTCTTCCCTTCTCTTACCTCTCTCCTCTCTTTTCTCCTCTTCCCTCCTCTCTTCTCTTCTCCTCGCATCCATCCGTCCGTCTGCCGGTCTATTTTGCTTTTCTAGTACTGGGGCTTTACCTTTGCAGTGAGCTATATCCCTAGACCTTTTTACATTTTTTTTTTCATGGAACTGGGGATTAATTTTTATTTTGACACAGGGTCTTCCTAATTCACTACACTGCTCAAGTTAGGCTTGAATTTGCAAATCCTCCTACCTCAACCACCCAAGTGTTGGAATTACAGGCATGAGCCACCACTTCTCCTGCTATGTGACATTTTACTAAGATTTCTGTCACTGTTGATGTTAGGTAAACCAAACTTTTGCTACTCAAAATTCTAAATGACCCTGGCTTTTGCCCTCTCTCCCCTTTTACAATTAAAACTCTAACCTCAGAGAGACTTAAGACAGACTTTTAGCTGGAGAAAGATATCAGACACAGAGAGCAAACAACACAAGCTGCACACACACGGGCTGTTTCTGGCTCAGCCAGCTCCTTCCCAGAGCCATGAGAAAGCAGGCACCCTTCATCCCTGTCCAAGCACCTCCCTTGTGTGCTGCTCAGGCAGTCAGGTCAAATGAAGTCACTCCTCTCCAACCTGATGGCCTCTAACTCACTGTATAGTATAGGCTGGCTTTGAACTCATAGGGATCCTCTTGCCTCAGTCTTCCAAATACTGGTATTACAGTCATGCACTACCATGTCTGAGTGCAAATGAGATTTCTAGTGACAAACAGCTACTACCACTAAAATATAACTGCTATCCAAAACTGAACAGCACTTCTGTCAATCACTGTAGCTCTGTAATGAATTTCTAACAGTTCAAACCTATTGAACTGATCAATAGTTTGACTTAAGCACAGAAAGTAAGTTAAAATTCATAATTTTAAAGAAGGAAACAGCACTCTAGATTCTTGGAAATTATACAATATGAGTAATAAAGCCTCATGAATTAATCAGTCTTCCATAAACTAGGACTGGATCTAAGTATTATTTATTACTGGAGCCTGAACCCAGAGTCTTCATAGTGAGCTAGTCCCATCCCTTATTTTTCTTTTCTTTCTTAAATTTTGAAATAGGTTCTTATAAAGCCATTAAGTTTGTCAGACCTAGTGGCACACACTTATAATCCCAGTAGTCAGGAGGCAGAGACAGGAAGATTGCTTTGAGTTTGGGGCCAGCCTGGGCTACACAGAAAGACCCTGTGCATGGGGGGAAAAATCTATGAAGTCACTAAGTTGCCCAGGTGCTCCTCAAACTTGCTGTCCTCCTGCCTCAACCTCCTGAGTGCTACAGGCATGCCCACCACACCCAGGAATTCAGTGCTACTTTTAACCACCCCCATCAAACCAAGCTTAACAACAACAACAACAACAACAAAACAAAAAAACAAACAAACAAACAAACAAAAAAAACCTTATTTATTTATTTATTTGATACAGGATCTCACTACACAGTTCGGACTCATAGTGATCCTTCTGTCTCAGCCTTCCCAGAGCTGGGAGGC